GGCCGGGAGGCGGGGCGCGGCGCGCGCAGGTGAGGGGCACCGGTCGCCCTGGGGCCCTTCTGGATCGCTGCCCCGGGGAGTCGTGCCCAGTGGCGTGGGCGTCGCGCAGAGGGTGGAGTAGGGCTCCTTGTCAGATGGACTTCGGCTGTGGGTCGGGGGACCAGACCAGGGGCTGCGGGGCCGCGGATGAGGCCAGGTCAGTGGCAGACGGGCGGGCGAACGAGAGAGGGGACTGCATCGGAGGAGCGATCTGGCCGTATCTGGGTGGGACTTGGAATTTCTTGGGTGGGAGGGAGAGAGCTTTGTGGTGTGGAGAGCCGGAGCCAAGGGCCTGCAGCTTAGTGGGGGAGGGGAGGGGAGTGTCACCTTTGTCCCCCCCAGTGACAGGTAAAAATGACCTGACATTTAGAAACTGGGGCCTGTGGCCTTCTCTGAGCCTTGACTGACCATGCTCTCCGAACTGCGGCCCCTGGGGAAACAGCCTAGGTAGTGTTGGCCATGTGGCCCTCACTTTGCCACCCATATTCCGGTTATCTAAATGCTGTGTAGCAGACCACTCCAAAACTCAGTGGATTCAAGCAGCTCTTCAGGCTATTTATCACAGTCTGTGGATGGTCCTAGCTCACCTAGGCAGTTCTCTCTTGGGGGCTGGAGTAATCTGAAGGCTAAATGGAGTGGACGTCCCCACCCCGCATCTGGTGCCTCCAGTTGGTGGTTGGAACAGCCAGGGCTGGCCAGCCATTGTGCTGCATGTAGCATCTCCACGTGGGTGGCTTGGGCTTCCTCACAACATGGCCGTCTCGGAGTAGTCAGACTTCTTTCATGGCAGCTGCACGTACCCCTTCAGCGTATGTCCAATAGGCCCAGGTAGAGCTGCAAGGCCCCAGTTGGTCAGAAAGAAAGTCCCGGGCCGTCCCAGATCCACAGGGAGGGGACTACATAGAGTGGGAACACTGGAAGCATGGTTCATTGGGGGCCATCACTGAAGACTAGTTGTCACCCTCATAGCTCTGTAGGGGGCTGTCCTTCACACCCTTGGCCAGGCCACCCAGGGTCCTGGAGGCCGGAGAGACCACCTGTCTGAGAGCTTGTTGTGAGTTATATTGTGCCCCCCAAAAAGATATGCTCAAGTCCTAACCCCCAGTACTGTGACCATCACCTTGTTTGGAAACAGGATCTTTGCAGATGTCATCAAGTTACAGTGAGGTCATACTGGATTGGGGTTGGCCCTAATCCAATGACAGGTGTCCTTATAAGATGAGGGAAATTTGGACAAGCCAAGGAACAACAAGGGTTTCCAGAAGCCACCAGAAGCTGAGAGAGGCATGGAGCTGTTTCTCTCTCAGAGCCTCCAGAAGGAACTAACCCTGCCAGCACCTTGACTTTGGACTTCTGGCCTCCAGAACAGAGAGAACAAACATCTGTTGTTTGAAGCCCTCATTTTGAGGTCCTCTGTTATGGCAGATATAGGATTCACACAGCCCACCCAGAACCTAGCCCTCCCTGCTGAGGGCCAGGCCCACGGCTGAGCACAGGCAACTTCCTGCCCGTGGGTGCCTGAAAAATGAGGACGAATCACAGGTGGTGGCCGCA